CATCTGCAGCCACTAAGCAACACTGTATACAGATTGTTCCACAGATTTTTTTGGTGTTTATTGTCAAAACATATACAAACTGTATGAAACAAACAAACAAACTGAGAGCACAGTACTTTTATCCTGAGTTATAAATATTTTCCTAAAAATATACAGCATGATTATGAATCAAAACTGAAATTTCCCTCAACTCAAAGTAGATACTTGTTATTCATATTTTCTAAAGAGTCTTTAGAGACAAGGTCTCCAGGGATGAGATCTGGAGCACATGGCTATGAATAAAGCTTTAATATGGTGCAGCTATCTTACAAACCTGATTAAAACTATATTTGTCATGAAGTGCTCCAGATCTCATCTCATTATCCCACCTGCAACAGCCCTGCTCTCCACCTAAAGCAAAACACCTTGTTGCCCGAGATGCCCCATACTATGGCAGGAGGAACTTTTACATCCTCTCTGTAACTCAAGAGTTCGTTCAGGCTCGAGCTGCATCAGTTTCACATCGCCGCTTAACATGACAGCAAGGGGAGTGTCAGAAATCTCTGATTAAAAAACCCACTACAGCACTAGAAAAGTCTTTGTTCCAGATGAGAAGAAGCTCTGACCTCCGTGAAACAGCTCAAATCACCTTCGGCTGTGAGGTTCTGTTGTGGACGGGTTTGTGGCGTGCTTTTCAGAAAGAGCACCTCAGGCTATTTCTCTTCATTTATCTCCACCGGGAGGTCCGCTCTCTCCCTCTTTACTGAAACTGTCTCCTCCTTAACGCTTTCATCGTCCGTTAGCTGTGAAGCTTCTCTTTTCCTCTCCTCCTTAACAAAGTTCTTTTCCACCTTTTCCTTCGCAGTAACTCCACGCGGTGGTTTGACATCGGCAGTGGTCTCAGTGGTAGCTGTGGAGCTCTCGCAGACAGTTGGTCCGTCCCACTTTGGGATTTCCAGTCCCAGCAGCTCCATCAGCTGTTTCATGACGTCGTCCACATAACCATGCATACGCAGGTGTGCATGCTTGTCCTGCACTCACAGAAAATTGCAGCCATTGAGGTAACAGTTGATAATAATTTTTTTTCAGCATTTACACACATCATTCAACACTTCAAAGGTAAATAATTACACGTTTACGTTTGTATGTGTTGGTGTTGCATACATGACACTCACGTGTTTGGTCGGCTGCAGGTTGACAATAACCAGTTTGCCACCCTTGCGCTTAGTGAGGAGTGGGAGGTCTCCACTGGGTTTGATCTGCAGGGACGTGCCCAGAGTCAGAGCCAGGTCCGCTCGTCTAAAGAGGACGACACAAAAACCAGTTTTTTCATCATTCGTACATAATTGATGCAATCTATATATCTAATAGATTATCTTAGAGTGTTAAATTACATTATTCATTTATTTAGGTGTCATTTCTTGCAGTGGCACCACCTGACTTTTACTTTATGCTCTCCCTGTGCCTGGGCTAATTCTCTCCAACTACTCCAGATTCCTCCCACAGTCCACAGACATGCAGTTAGTGGGGTTAGGTTAACTAGTGATTCTAAATGGGCCATAAGTGTGAATATGAGTGTGAATAGTTGTCTGTATCTCCGTGTCAGCCTTGCAAACTGTCCAGGGTGTACCCCAGCTCGCACCTGGAATAGGCTCCAGCTGTCCCGCAACCCCGAATTGGATAACCAGAAGAAGACGGATGGCTCCGCTCCACAGTTTATACTTTAAATTTATTATCATTTGAACAGCATTTTTAGTCGTCCAAATCTGTCCATTCAACAGGCAGCTAAGGCACCTGACATTGTTAAAGAATATATATTTGAATGCAATAAAAATCTATTCAAATAAAAAAAAAAGTTTTATAGAATAAATTCTACAATGTCATAAAATTAATGAACAGAAATTATGCACCTCGATAAAAACCTCAATGTCACGTCTTTGGCCCGTGTATATATACGTTTGTATCAGTCAGTAAAAAGGCAGTTAAAGCTCATTTAACCTGGCTGAAACTGAATAAATGGCAAGGCCAGCTTCAAGGCACTTTCTATGTCAGCCAGTCAAGGTACAGCGCGTGAGTTACTCTTCAGACTACAGCTTTTGCAATTTGATTTTATACATACTTGTGCTGTTTGTTGTTATAAATAGCAAATTAGCTTCTGCGTTATGGTCCAAAAAATGTCTTCTTTTATTTTTTTAAAGCCACACTGAGGGTTTCCAGTGAGCGTTCACTATGAAATCTAATCAGTTTGTTCTAACTTTGAAGAAATCCGCTCAAGGCTGTCAAGAGATATTGTGTTCATAAGTGAAAAACAGTCCAAACCAAACACACAGTCCCTCCCTCTGGCCTCGGCTGTTACAGTCACTGTCAATGGAAAATTGTACTTAGTAGTCAGTATAATCTTTTAATGATATAAGTTTGCATATGGTAGAATACTGCATGTAATCATTTGTGTTTAGAAGTATATA